AATATTAATGAAGAGCCGTTGTACATGAAGAGTTGGTTCTCTCATGCTGCCTTCAAGATTCTCTCTGTCCTTGAAATTTAATCATATATATATATATATATATATATATATATCTCACTTGGGGTTTATTGGATATTTATATTCATGTCTTTCATTACATTTGAGAAGTTTTAGCTATTATTCTTTCAAATATTCCCTGTGCCTCACAAGTATATATAGGTCCCTTAGGCTCTGTTCATGTTTCTTCTTTCTGTTCTTGGTATTTTCCATTGTCCTGTCTTCAAATTAATTAGTTCTTTGGCCTGTTCCAATCTACCTCTGAATCCCTGTAATGAATTTTTCTCTTCACTGTCCTTTTCAGCTCCAGATTATCTTTTGGTTTTCTTTTTGGGCTTTCTATCTTCTTACTGGTATTTACATTTTTTCATACATATCTTCTCCACACTTCTTTTGAGCATTTTAGTTGTTCTGAAGACTCTCTAGTAGGTCTTTTATTAGATATTTTCAAACAGTTGCTGTCATTTTTTTCTGTTAAATGGGCCATCATTTCCTGTTTCTTTGTATGCTTTGTGTTTTTTTTTCAAAATTAAAAACTAGACATTTGACTCTAATAGTGTGGCTGCTCTAGGCTATCCATACACTCATTCTTTCATTTGTTCTGATTATTGTCCACAGGCTGCCTCTGTGCTAAGTATCAGTTTAAGGTGTGAAGCCAAGGTTTATCAGGGTTTTTAGACTATGCTATTTCTTGGGGATGCGTAGACACACTATAATTTGTCCTGTACAATTATTCCTCCACCCGCATATTCATGCTATATCTGTGGATTCGACCAAGTGAGGATAGAACAGATTGTTTTTTTAAATTACAGCTGTATAAACACATATAGACTTTTTTCTTGGCTTCATTCCCTAAGTAATACAACACAGCAACTATTTATATTGCATTTACATTGCATTAGGCATTATAAATAATCTGCACATGACTTAATGTGCAAATAGTTCACTATTTTTTATAAGGGACTTGAACATCCATGTACTTTGGTATCTGTGGAGGTCCTGAAACCAACGTCCCATAGATAAAGTGGGAAATTATGTATGCAGTTGCGATGTCCTAATCTTGAATGATTAATTTTCAACAGGGGGAAAAAAAAAAAAGAAAAATGAAGGGGTGGAGGAAGGACACCAGTCCTTTAAATCCCTAGAAGTCTGAAGCAATGAGAGGCGTGACAGTGACCTCTTTTTGTCTTTACCTCTGTGATCAGAAGCAGCAATCAGAGCGCAGGTCCAATACGCGGAGGACAGGGTCACTTTTATTCATCATGGCTCTGGCGAGCTGCATTAAGCTGCTTCAGGAGCAGGTGCAAAGCTGCCTGCCATGGGGCTGGGGTGTGGGCCTGGGTAGCTGCTAGTGAGCTAAGAGCTGAGATTGCCCGAAAGTAACCACAATTTAATATCCAAGACTTCCCTAGGAAGTTGCAAGCTTTCAATAGAGCCCAGAGTTCCAAAATAGTTTATCAGATTCTGTGGTGTAGGTGGGGAGATAGATTCCTGATAGAATCTGCTATCTTTCCAGAACCCTCTGGGTATCTGTCTTTTAAAAAGTCACTTTTGTGTGTGTATGTGTGCATGTGTGTAACATGGAGAAGATACACATTGTGCTCAGTCAGCCACACTTTTTCCTTTTCCCTTCTTTTCTCCTGATTGCCCCATTATTTTATGGAGGATGGCCTGGCTAATTTTCCATCTCACCCACAGGTTGAACATGTAAATGAGGTTAAAATAAAAGCAGAGGAGGAACGTTCATTCCACATAGATTTTAAATATGGCAAAGATTACTGCCGCTGATGGGATTTTATGATATCCACTTTTGTTGAGAGCATGTTGCAAGGCATAGGTGGCATTATGTAGTGTGATGTTCTTGTCCAACACGTAGGTTCGGAAAGATATTTTTTGTGTTTCTCAGCTGGTTTGAACTGGGCTTACGTGATCCTTCCAAGTTGCTGTGATTACAGGTGTGCGCCATCACACTTGGCACGTTTGGGAAGACTTGCGTTTATCCTGGACAGCCCCGATTCTGAGGATGTGTGTGAGAGAGAGGTAGCAGTGATGGGTCATGACTGATGATGGCTAGTGATTGCCAGCATCAACAGGCCAAAGAATTACACACAGGTTGCTAGAGCAAGCGAACTGCCGGTTGGGAGGTATTGGTCAGAGAGGGTTAGGGGCTTCGGAGAAGGAGCACTTAGGATGTGACCATGATGTAGACAGTCGGGGTTGGCAGGGAAGGAAAAGGTCACTAAATGTGCTAGTAGGGTGTTGATCACTCATGGGGAGTTGAAGCCACCCAAAATGATGAAATGAATTAGAGGATAAGGACATAGGGGCTATATTTTCCTTGTACATATGTGGAGAGTAGTTGGGAAATCAGTTGATTGGGCAAGAGACAGACTGATGTGTTCAAAACAATGACTTAAAAAAGTTAGAAAGATGAGACATAATTAAGGCAAAGCTGTGGGGCTCACTTCCTGGGTCTGATAATGAAACCTGCCTCTGCTTAAGAGGGATCCAGCACGGCAGTTTCTTGGGAGGACAGCCAGAGTTAGCAGTGTCTTTGGGTGACAGTTTAGGTGAAGAGGTGACACAGGTTTTCCAGTAACGTACTTAATCTAGAAGCGTGTGTTGACTATGGAAGGAAGTGTGGGCACACGGGGAAGGGCTGGGTGGCAGTCCTATGTGAGCTGGTGTGGGGGACGACTGAAGTCCAGACCTCCTGACAAATCTGTGCGGCGTGGTACAATTAGACTTGGACAGCTTTTAAAGGAATGGTGGGCAAATGGTTCCAGGATAGTGGCTGTGGCTCCATCTTTCCCCCCTTTGCCCCCAGTGAGGACTCTAGGGATTGCACTAATGACTTTTCTTCCTCTACATTCTCCTTCTGCCATATCAGCATCCAGATCATTTAAGGTTCTTTGGCCAGTGGGGGACCCAAATCTTTTTAAGAATGAGTCCTTTCCACGTGTGGTGGCACATGCCTGTAATCCCAGCATTCAGGAGGCTGAGGCAGGAGGACTGTCATGAGCTTGAGGCCAGCCTGGGCTACAAAGTGAGCTCAAAGCCAGCCTGAACTATTCAGCAAGAGCCTTTTTCAAAGGAAAAAGAAAATGAGTCTTTCTCAGTTTTGGTATCTAATACCTAAATCATTTAGGACTATAACACTAGAAAAAATTACTGAAGTTTATACTTCAGTATAGTGTTTTTTATAAAACACTAAAATCAATCTGAGGAAACCACTTATAATGTCTTGTTTCAAATCTACTTATTCTTTTTTGTATACTGTCCTTTCTTGCCTTTTATTTCTTTAAACATTTTAAAATATTATTTTATTCTTATGTTACCTGGACATTCCATTTAAGCTGAGTTTCCTTAATGAGCTTCCCCCATCTTTTTGGAGGAGTAAGTTCTCCCTGTAAGCTCATTCCCAGTAGGATTTATTTTCCAAGTGCTTCTCTGAAAACAGCTGTGGGGATGATCTTACAGAATGGTTTTGATTGCTTCTATGGGCTTTATTGGTCAGGACCCGCACTTTGTTATTCAGTTGGACTCCTGGCAGCATTTGGATATTGTGAACTTAAATGATACCATTACAAATAACCAAAGTAGGAGCTTCATCTGGGTCTATATACATCCCTCAAAAAGGGTACATTACTGTGTTTCCCAGGTCAGTGAGAAATGTTTCTCAAGTCTTCACAAGGCCGTGGCTTTCTTTCAATGCTGGGAATCAAACCCAGGGCTTTGCATATACTCTGCAATATACACAGTGTTCTACCACTGAGCTACAACCCCAGCTGAGGTGGATCTTTTGGTCTTGTTTTATGAAGCTCCAGCACCCAGCCATTAAGTCTCCATCTGTCCCACATCTCTATGAACTCCCTGATCTCTGCTTCGCCCTCTGAATATCACATTCCAATTCACATATGGCACATGGAGATTCTTAATTTCAAGTCTGTGTTAAACTTTTTTTGCTACATAGTGTTTGTTGGAAGTGGGAAGGCAATCTGCTTGGAACTACTGTGTTCCATTTTTTTTTTTTTTTTGAAGAGCAGAAATATTTATTGCGAGAAAGCTTCTGGGAGACACAGGGTGTGTGTGGCATATTGGTCAGACGTCACTCCACACAACCACACGCGATGCACAGGGTCTTCTGAAAACGTAAATCTTCTTTCATTCCCTCAGCATGACGACCAGGCTCTCTGAAATCTAGAACCTGCCTCTGTAGCTTTTTTTTCATTTTTTCTCCACATCCAGGTACAGCTTCGCTCTAGTCAGAGGTAACGACTCTCCTTTCCCCATATTTACACTAGGATGTGTCGATGGCAGTAAGTCTAACTTATCCCACAGTGTACGGTCATGTGGGCAGTGAGGCAGCAGTATTATGCGTATCCTGAGTGCCTAGACCAGGAAACACCAGCACCTCTGGACAGAACGGTCGGTGATTTTGACTTGTACTCAATTAAAAAATGCTGTTGAGTCTAAGGTTGCAGTAAATTATATATTAATAATTGACATTTTGGGCTGGGGATTTAGCTCAGCGGCATAAGCACCTGCCTTGCAAGCAGGCGGTCGTGAATTCAATCCCTGGTACCGATAAAAAAATGAAAAAGACAAGAAAAATTTGACATTTAAAAAATGTTATTCATATTTCTTTTCCAGAATCTGGTTTGTTCATTTGTCAAATTTTGTTTTATGCCCTCTAATGTTTTTCTTTTCTTGTTAACCTTATTATTAAGTATACTTTGGGGCTGATAAGGATATTAATATGGTTCAAAACTTAAGTGATAAGTAAATACAGTGAAGTTTCTCTTCTATTGCTCTCAACTGCCCAATTTTCCCCTTTCCAAGGCAGTTCACATGGATGTATGAGCAATATACACATTTGCTGTAATTATGGATGAAATGCTTTGCTTTTTACTATTATTGGTAGAAGAAAGGCAAGAGATTGATTCTTGTACATTTATCTTTTATTCATCCACTCACCAAATGTCCTTTTAATGCTAATAGGTTTTTACCATTGTCATTCGGATCTTCTAAATATACAAATCAGCGAGAAAGATATTTCCAGCACCCATATTTAGTATTCTCCCTTATTTTCACCTAATCTTCAAAGCAACGTTGTTTCCTGTTTCAAACTTCCGAGATAGCTTTAGCATTTATGATTAAATGTTATTTTCATGACTTATCATACTCAAATCACTTTTCTTTAAATTGTTATCCAATATTTATCAGTATACACTGATATATTTATTGTTTTATTTTTTGGTTCTGGGGATCAAACTCACGACCTCACACTTAACACGAAAGCGCTTAAGCCGGAGTTAACCTCTGGCCCTACACTGATATATTTAAAACACCCTTTATTTTGAAAATTTTAGACTTACAAAAAGTTGCAAATTCTTCAGATTTTCCAAGTGTTTACTTTTGCTTCCTGTGTATATATGTGTCTACTTTTTTCATTCCATGTATATGTATACAGATGTTTCCTAAAATATTTGCAAATTCCTTGCCTTTAACCTCTTTACATTTTCTAAAAATAAAGGTATTCTCTTCAATAATCATAGTATAAGTATCTGCATAAAAAAATGAAAGCTAACTAATTTATTTTTCCAGACCTTGTCTTTTTTTTGAGACAGGATTTCACTATGCAGTTCAGGCTGGCCTTGAACTCACTTGGTAGCCCAGGTTGGCCTTGAGCTCATGGCTGGCCTTGATATTCGTTCTTGGTATGATGGATTATTAATAATTTCTGACACTGGGTCCAAAAAACTTTGTGATCATAGTACAGTTTGATTTTTTTTTAATACTGAAGATTTGAACCCAGAGCTTTCAGTATGCTAGGTTAAGTATCTACCACTGAGCTACATCCCCATCTCTTTTGGTCTAAGACAGCATCTGGCTAAGTTGCCCTGTATGGCCTTGAACTTGCCATCCCCCTGCCTCCGCCTCCCAAGTAGCTGGAATTACAAGTGTGCACTATCGTGCCTGCTCCAGCTTTGCTTTACTTGGGCTTTGTGCATTTACAGTCAACATGATTGGGTTATTCCTTCAGCACTGTCATGGTTAGGGCATGGGGGGGGGCTTTTAAAATCAGGTGGGCATCTTTCCATCATTTTCCTTGGTCTGAGTTTATATGTAGCCCCAAACTGGAACTTACCTATTTTGGTGACAGTGATGGCTACAAGAATGTATTCACACTATTCTTAATATTTGTAGGTTTTATATGGTTTTTTTTTTGGGGGGGGTGCCAGAAATTGAACTCGGGACCTTGTGCTTGCCAGGCAGGCACTTATCTGCTGAGCTATATCCCCAGCCTCACATATATAATTTTAAAATTTAATCAAAACAGTAATTTTTATTTTCTTGTGGTCTAAGGATCAACTAGATTCTCTACTGTAAAATGATGCATTTGGGGGCTGGGGTATAGCTCAGTGGCACAGCACTTGCCTTGTATGCTTGAGGCCCATCTCCAGTACCCCCTCAAAAGGAATTTTCCTCTTGAAATCAGTAACACATCTGAGAAGAGTGGTTCTTGCTTACACGTATTAATGCTGTAGTTGCCTAATGATGACTTTCTCTTTATTCATCTGTATTAACTGACATTATAAGGAAGAACTTTCCCCCCATCTTTCACTAACTTACATCACTGTGAAGTAATAGATACTAGTTTTATTCTATGGGTAATTAATGCTCAGTGGCCCATGCTTGGCTATTGGGAACTCTAATTATTTTCAACTCTTCCCCATCATTTTTCGAGGGCTTCCTTATTTTCTGGCACCACCAGTTGTCCTGGGCTTGCTCACATTTTCCCTGTCTAGTCTTGACATCAGCCATTTCTCCAGGAATCTCCGTTCCATCTGTTCTTGAATAAACCAGTTAGCTCTTGGTACCTACAAATCTGGGTCTGGACACTGGGTACACTCATTGATACTTGGGTGTCACTGCTCCTAGGCTCTCCCGTAGACAGTGGTAGGATATACATATGCATGTCAACACATGCATACAGACATCTGCTTTTCCCTGTCCATCTGTGTATTAAAGAGCAGTTCATACTGATGCTTACCCTCCAATGCCACAGGGCTTGTGGCTGCCATTCTGGCAACTGTACTATTTTTCTGCTGCTTTCTCTCCAGCTGTCTCGTTCGTTCTCCTTTCTGTGTGGCAGCCAGACTTCTAGAAGCTGTAAGGCATTCAGTGAGCATCCTTTGTGCATTATCACTATTGGGTGTATAACTGGTCAAGAACAGCAAGCAGGTAGTAAGCAGGGGTGTAAATCAAAAAAGGTAACTTTCATACTGAAAGACAACAAAACCAAAGCCAACCCCAAGAGCCGCCTCCCTGAGAACAGGACAGGGAAACACACTAGATCCTCAGGGTGTGAGGAACTTAACTATCACTTCTCCAGATTCTTTGCTAGACTTCATAGGTCATGTTGGACCTATTATCTCTACTTCCATTACATCCTGGGCATTGCTTAGTTCACTTATGCCATGTTTTTTTGTCTGTATCACTAGAATGTAAGCTCCAAGGGGGCAAACACCGAGATGTTCAGCTCACTCTTCACAGCCTGGCATGGTGCTAGCACATGACAGATGCCCCGGGGAATGTGTGGATGTGTGAGTGGGTCCTGGGACAGAGCACTTGTTTGCGTAGTATACTTTTGTCATGTGCTTATGACCAAGTATTGAGGCCTGCCAGCACTGCAGCTCTAATGGATTACAGCCAACAGTGCAGTATGAGACCAGATACCTTATGAAGGCTTCTAGAACACAGGAGGATGGACTTGAAAATGGTTCAAAGAAAAAAATCTCACAAGTGTAGAGGGATTGTAGAAATTTAGAGAAAAGCTCGGTGTAGAGGTGCACATCTGTAATTCAGCACTCAGGAAGCTGAGGCAGGAGGATTGCTGTGACTTTGAGTCCTGCCTAGGCTACCTAGTGAGTTCAAGGTTAGCTTGAACTACACAGAAAGACCTTGTCTCAAAAACAAAACAATAGAATTTTTTATACAATGGAGTACTACTGAGCTGTAAAGAAAGATAAACTTGAGGCTTTTATAGGTAAATGGATGCAACTCGCGACCATATTCATAAGTGAAATAAATCAGACTCATATGTGTGAACACCATATTGTCTCCCTAGTGTAAGACATTGAAAGAGTAAATAAGATCCAAAATGTACAATAGATTTTGTGAAAGGAGAATAAATTGCTCAAAAGGAAAGAGCAACTGGGATGGGGGAAAGGAGAAAAGAGGGAAGGGAAAGAGAAATACATACATACATATATATATATAATATATATATATTATATATATATATATGACAGCAACTACTATGAAGATAACCATATGCAATACATTAACCATTGCTAAGCTATTATCTTCTTTTGAAATTCTGTATCATTTTTATTGTTTTTTCTCTTTAAAAAATAAAATATCTTGTTCTCATCTCTAAAAAAAAAAGCACATGGAAGCCTTAAGAAAATAAAAAATGAACCAATAAATACAAAAACTGAAGTTGAAGTAGGGAGAAAACAATAGAAAAATAAGCTAAAAAGCAATTATTTGAAAATATAAATATGATAAATCAGGTATAATGGCACATGCTTGTAATTACAACACTTGAGAGGCTGAGGCAGGAGGACTGCCATGAGTTTGAGGCCAGCCTAAGGAGTGAGTTCAAGACCACAGTGAACTACATGGGGAGATCCAGTCATTAAAAAAAATTATATATATATATATATATATATATATATATATATATATGAATAAATGAAAACTTCCTGAAGGGGGAGGAAATAAAAATACAAGATTAGCAATGCAACATTAGAAACAGTCACACAGACAGGAGAGGGAAAAATTTTTTAGAACTTAATGGCAACAAATTTAAAAACAGAACAAATGGATAATATCCTAATAGACAAAAGAAGGAGCTGAAAGATGATTAAAATGTGACCCTTTTGAAGCGTGTTCTTGGGTGGGACTGTGGCTCCGTGCAGCGTGCCTAGCATGCCCCAGGCCTGGGACACAGCTAGGTTTTTCTGCCACTGGTTACCATCTACTCTCAGAGTTACCACCACCAGCTGCCAGAAGGCACCACGGACCCAGTGTCACTTCTGGGGCCACCTTGCCAGAAGTGCAGGTCCTCAGTATAATCATGGGAAAGCACTGGAGAAAATAAAATTGGGGGACATTCTACCGAATAACTGACCTGGATCTTTCAAAAGTGTCAATGGCATAAAAGACAAGGATGGAGGAATTGCCACAGGCTGGCGGAGCTGAAGGAAACATGACAACAAAATATAACGTGGAATGTCCTGGGTTAGAAAAAGACATCAGGGGAAAACTGGCAAAATTAAAATATCCGCATATTAGTCAACAGTATCATAGGAATGTGAAATTTCCTGTGACGATCATAGTATGGTTTTATGATATGTTAATATTAGAAGCAGATGGGTAGAAGATATATAAGAACGCCCTACTCTTTTTTTTTTGTCTTTTTCCTTTTTATCGGTAGCAGGGATCGAACTCACCACTGCCTGCTTGCCAGGCAGGCGCTTATGCCGCTGAGCTAAACCCCCAGCCCCCTCCCTACTCTTTTTGCAACTCTCTGTAAATCTAAACTTTTTTCAAAACCAAAAGTAAACAACGATCACAACACTGGAACAGCAGTCACTGAGGGAGGGCCAGCGGCACAGCACCTCTGATGGGCTGGACAGGGACTGCTGACATGTGCTAGGCCTGTGCCTGGCTTTTGTGACCGCCCATACAATGCTGTTACAACATTCTGCAAGCACCCCTGGTCCTCTGATTCCTGGGCCCCCACTTCGTACTTCCTGAGAAAGGTTAACACCACCCTGCAGAGGCAGGCCGGATGCAGTTCTGACCAGGGGCAGATACGGCAGATTGTATTCGAGAATACACCAGGCCTTGCTGGTATTTTGCCAAGTGGGCGCTGAGACAGGCAGGTCTGTGGAATGGCCTCTGTATGAGGGCATGGTGTCTGGACCTTCTGCTTAGTGACTAATTTGCAGGCTTACTCCAGACTCACTTAGCTGAAACAAGAGTTATAGACAGGGCTGAGGCAGGCTCCATGGCCACCTACATGGGGTCTCACCCCAGTTTTCTCCCCCTACAGCCTCCCAGTGTCAACACTCTCTGTCTCCTGAAGGAGGCTTCTACAGAGCTGAGTCTGCTTGGTCATCTGGGGCTGATGTCAGTCCCAGAGCAGGGCAGGGTAATGAACTAGTCAGGCTTGCAAAGGTGCCTGACCCTAGCCTCATTCTGGTGTGACTGCAGGGCATGATGTGGGGAGAAACAGTGGGCATGGGAGGGCAGGGGAAGAGAAAAGGCCTATGTATCTGTCCCTTCCTCTTAAGACTTTTGGGACATGCAGAAGAGGTAGCTACAAACTAAACTGCAAAACCACCAGGGCTGGGCCTCTGCACTCTTCCTCCACTTCTGATGGAGATGTTCTAGGGACTGAGCTGTAAGACAGCAGGTGCAGGATGTAGGTCACAGTCAGGTCCCTATCTTGTTCCACTAGATCTGTTCCTAGTTACCATACTTCTAAGCTTTAGGGAACATGCTAAGTTTAGTGACCATGGGGAATGGGGACCAAGTGAAGACAGATTAGGGGCTTCCCTGCTCCTTTCTTTTTTTTGAGACAGGGTCCCACTGTGTAGTTCAGCCTGGCCTTAGACTCACTATGTAGCCCAGGCTGGCCTCAAACTTCTGGCAATCCTGGCTCAGCTTCCTGAGTGCTGGGTGTGCTACTATGCCTGGCTCTGATCCTTGGCTTTGAACAGGGTGGTGAGGCAGTTCCTCCCCTGAGGACTTGCTAGCAGACCAAGGGGACAAGGGAGCGCTTCCAGGCTGGAGCTGCGGGAGGCATGATGGGAGATAGGGCAGCTGCCATGCCACAGCGAGGGGTCTTTATTAGATGCTCAGGGCATGTATAGGCAGACAGGCCCTAGATGGTGTAGCACACCTTCTCGGGGTGCAGTGGTGTCCGGATGTCCAGTTTGTGGGTCTTGCTGTCCTTATCAATGATCTCTAGCCGCAGCTTGGGTGTACGCTTCTCAGCCTGGGGGAGTTCAGGGCTTTTGAGGAGCTGCTTGTCCGAGTCCTCCACAGTGATTCGCAGAGTACAGCCCCCTGGTAGCAGGTCCTGCTCATAGGCTGCGGCCAGCTGGTTCACCACGCGGCGCTCGACCTGCAGGGGTAGAAGATGAAGCGGTGGCCTCAGCCTGGAGCTTGCCTCTTTCACTTTCTGCTTAGGCAAGTCAGTGCTTGCCTGCACCCCAGTTTTCACATCTGCAAAGTGGGGTTAAGGAGGGAGCTTAAAGGACTGTGCTAAAGGTTCGATGATGTCCGTTTCTGAGGTTCCCAGCCCACTTCCTAAATGGAGGTGGGATTCATACTTGGTTGCCCTCCAGAAAGCAGTTTTAATTAATCATCTTGTATTTTTGGGTCTGAGGAGCATCTGCTATGAGTATGGATAATCCCAGCAGGCACACAGAGACAGGCCTAGAGCCTGAGACTGGGTTTGAGCAAAACCTCACTTCTCTTAGGCCTCCGCGCTCACCTCATGCTTGATGGAGCGGGCACCGTAGTGCACATTGTAGCCATCTACCAACACGTCTGCCACCTCACGGTCCCACAGCAGTGTGATGTTGTGCCTTTGCTTGGCCTGAGATGGGTCAGAGAGAGACGTGTCTGCATATGGCCACCTCTTATCAGTGGTATGAGGCTTCGACCTGTGAGACACTATGTGTCCCCAGGGCTGCTGGCCTCACCCCACAGGAAAGGGCTGTTCTGGCCCAGTGTTCCAGATTCTCAGTGGGCAGAAGTCCCATCCCCACCCATGGCAGTCCCTTCTTACTCTCTTGGCCCAGAAGTTCAGTTCCTTGTTGACTAGTTGGATGAGCTCTGAGTGGCAGAAGGGAAGGAAGTAGACGATCTCATTGATCCGTCCCAGAAACTCATCTCTCCGGAAGTGAGCCTACAGGGCCAGGTTGGGGGTAGAGAGTGCTAGTGACTCAGAGGGCAGGAAATTTCTGGATCTCATGGGTAAGACAGGGCCTTCTACATCTTAGGATGGCTAAGGCCCTGCTCCCCACAGCTAGGTTCCAGTAGGAGGCGCCAAGAAAGACTCTTACTTTTAGGATGGGGCGGATTACATTCTCCTTGAAGTTCTTAGAGATGGTGATCTTGTCACTAATCTGGACATCACCTGCAGAGACAGAGTCATAAACTGTTTACTCCTCGGACTTAGCTCTGGTGCAGTGCCTGCTCTCTACCCCGACCCACAGAAAGAGCCAGGTGCTGCTGCTGTGGGGTGAACATGGTCTGAGGCTTCCTGAGGCCTTGGCTGGGGCCCTCGCTGACCCTGGCAGTCTCTGAGGCCCTTCCAGATCCCATGTGCCACAAGGCCTGGGTTCCTCTCGTGGGAGCAGTGGCTGACCGGGGAGAGGAAGAGTTGGCATCAAGACCTAGCTTTGTCTTGGAGGAGAGAGGGCTGCAGGACTTATCCTGAATAGAAAAATGACAGGCATGGCCCATAGTCGCTAGCTGACATGCCCTCCAATGCTCACCTATGAAGGGCGTCACCCAGGGTGAAAATGGCTATGATCATTTCTGTGTAGTTTCCAACCTGCTGTCTCTTAAGCACCTCTAGCTGCTGAGTATGCACTGCACTGGTCCCCAGACTGTGGCTGCGTCCTGGTCCTCCCTTGGGTGGCTCTGTCCCTTCCTTAGTTAGGAGCCCTCCTACTGCCTCGAGTGTCTGGGCCTCTTCGAGGGTGTGGAAGGTTCTTTTTGTTTGTCTCTTTTCATCTCTACAGTACCTGGGGTGTGTCAGGGTCAATAAGGGTCAAAGCTGCTTCCTCAGACTTCACTGAGGCCAGTATCCTAATCCCTTCCCTGCCTCCAGATATGCCAGTGGCTGAGTCACTTGCCCAGACAGCTCAGGTCATGTGCCATACCAAGGTTTTCAGCAATACGGTTGCGGCTTATCTCCAAAGCTTCCTGCCTCAGCTGCAGGGCGTGCTGTGCAATCTCGTCACTGGCCACGTTGGAGGTCATGATGAAGATGGCATCCTTGCAGTCGATGGTCTTCCCCTTCCCATCTGTCAGCCGGCCCTAGGAGGGATTGGGGCCAGGATGATCAGGGATCTGTAAGCTCCCCAGACCGCCATGCTGTTACCCCTAACCTTTCTCTGTGTTTGCCGGGCACTTTACTCTCTTTGCCTGCAGTGTTCCTTGCCCTGGGGTGCAGCTGCTCCACTGACTGAGGCCTCTAGGTGAGAATGCTCAGCTCTTCACATCTCTGAGTACCCAACTATTCCTGGCAGCTGGAAGCTGGTTTGATTCCCTACCCAACACACCCTGGGCTAGGCTCAGGTGTTGGAATACTGGGGACTCAATAAGGCTCTGACACATGCTTGGCTTAGGGAAGCAGTGAGACCCAGGAAATAGGTAAATAGCTGTGATGAGGGGAAGTCCAGTCTCTGCAAAAGTTCAGAGGATGGTACCTTGGGAGGGTCACTGTGAGGATCAGATGTGGTCAAACTGGCAAAGGAGCCTTAGGAGCCGTGCTGTGCTAATGGCAGAGCAGTTATTACTACATCATATAATACGGAATAAACTGAAATAAGGACAATCTTTATTTGGAGACATCCTCCATCCTAAAGAACAGATCTAGAAAATCAGGTTCTCTCTTTAATCATCTCGGGAGGTTTCCTTGGAATGCACAGCTCCTTCTACAAGGGACAGAGAAGGTATCTACACTGGAGACAGATGTACCAAAGAAAGAGAAAAAGAGCAAACAAGAGGGATGGGACAGAAGAATATAATAAGCACATTGTCCTGGAACCAATCAGGTTAAGGGTACAGAGCTCCACCCACTCAGAAAACCTCAAGGGCATCATTTTCCCACAGCACTGGTCAGTCACCGATAGCGAGGCCAGTGACTCACTCAAGAAAGCAATGGGGTGCCCAGGTGAGTGCTGACGGGGCACTTCCATGGCTGAGCAAGTGCCTGGTGCTTTTTGTGCACTACTTCACACATATGTCCATGAAAAAACAGCTCCTCAGGAGCAGGGAATGCTTGTCACTGTGTCCCAGGACAGTGCTGGCACACAGGAGCTATTCAACATCTGCTTGTTGAATGCCTGCATCCTCATGACCACCCTTAGAAGGTAGGTGCAGTTATGACCTCTCTACAAAAACTGAGGCTCAGAGAGGTTCGGTAACTTGATTAAAGTCTCACAGATAGGATATGTCAACTATCTGACCCTGGCCCAGGCACTTCCGTCTGCACCAGGCCACTGAGGGTACACAAATGGTGCTGGATAAATGAGATCTTTTGCCATTTTCTTGTTCTTAACATTTCTCACGATCAGGCCCAACTGAGTTTGCATCCTTTGATGCTCACAGGAAAGGAACAACTGGGACAGAGATTAGGGAGAAGGAGGCCTGCCTGGGATCACCTGGGAAGTGGACAAAGCGTAGCTCCTGCTGATCTAGAGACCATGGCTCTAGAAACAGATCACAGGGCTCCCACCATCGGCTCCTGCCTGCGCCAGCAATGCTGGGCCCTGTCCCAGCCTCAGCAAGCTGTGTCTTCCCTATAGCTGGGCTTGACTTAGGGTCAGCCCTTGCTTCTACAGCCCATGCAGTGGTGAGCTCAGCCTGAGAGGAGAGGGAGGAGAGGCAGCAGTAGAATACCTTCTGAGAGCAGGGCATTTCCACGCTGCTTTACCTGCACTTCCAAGACACTGCTGGTTCCAAAGGGGTCTATGTTAAAGAGGCCTGGAACTGCAGGTCCTGGAGTTATCACTCTGCAGTTCCCACCTTGCGGCAGGAAAGTGGATGTTCCTGAGCTTCTGCCCCCAGCTCCTCACTCTCACCCCTGTTTAAAGGCTGTCATTCCACAGAACCCACCAGGGGCAATTCCAGTGTGGGGCCAGGTCTGGGTGACTGTGTGAAGCGCTCAAGCATGTGCAGATGACATGGTATGTCTTCCACACTCACAGCACAGAGCTCATCCCCAAGGACGGAGTTCACACACTGCTGCACTGGCCAGAGCAATAACCCAGCAGCAATTTCATTCTGAGAGATCAAAGCTCTACTTATAACTGGGCCTATGGATGGGTCCCACATGGGCAAGGAGAGCAGGTGCAGTGCACGACTGACCCACAGGGTGACTTTCTGTGTTCGTCTCCTCAGCTTCTTGGCAATAAAGATGTGTCCAAAGAGGGTGCTCTTGCTGCCCCGCCTCCCCTCAGAGCACATATGTCCAGTGGGAGCTCAAATGCTTACCTTGAGTTATGGGACTGTTTTCCCAGTGTCTCATGCATCAGTCCTTGAAGGGAAGGGTGGAGGGTGTGCTCCCTGCAGGCCAGACTCTTCCTGGGACTTGTGCCCTGGCTGCAGGCACTGGGGTCACCAGGAAGTGACCCAGAATAAGCGTGGTTGGGGGAGAACAGGGCTAGAGCTTGGGGACTTCCCTCAGACCTCCAGACTGGATTTAGTGCCTGCGCAACTGCTGTGCTTGCTACATGTCCCTAGTGCATCCCTTGTCTCCGTAGACTCAAGGACTTTGCAGCTATCTGTGCCAGTCACATCACTGAGGGAGGGACTGTATGCCTCATTCCCCCATGCCCTATATATCAGTGCCTGGTACGTTCTCTGGGTTGGCCTCCTACTGCTGCAGCAATTCCCTTTGACCTCTCCCTGCTAGGTGCGAGGCTCTGTGATTAGCTCTTGTGGTTTCTCTGTACACTGAACTCTGCTGAGGTGACACAGCATGTCTATCCTGTACCTCTCATTAGCCTCTCTGTGCTGAGGGTTCCTAAACTGCTGCTTTCGCTCAGACCTTCTTATCCTCCAGACCCGTGAAACCAATGATGGATGGCTTTTTAGACATCTGTGTAGGGCTGGCCCTGGAGCATCCTACACCTTAGTGCCTTACCTTCCTCACCAATCTGGTTAGCTGCAGCTTGGCCCCCTGTGCTACCTGCCTCAGCTGATGGCTGCAGAAGCCCTGTGGGTCGTTCAGGTCAGAAATCAGGCCACTTTCATGATTCAGTGCTCTCTTTCTTCACAGGCTACCTTTTGTGGCTCCCTAGGCCATAGGTCCTGCTGCAGAGCAGACACCCCCGGCTGCAAGCCTGCACCTCTTCTCATTTCTAGTCTTCTCTCTGCACCGATGTTTCTGGGGTCTTCATTACAGAAAATCTGACCCTGCTCCTTTCTTGCTTCAAGTCTTTTGGTGCTTCCTTATGACCTGCCATATATATAAATGAATACTTTTTTGCCTATTTTTTGTCTTTCCCTTTTTCTTCTTCTCTTCATCTCTTCCTTCCTTCTTTTCCTGTGGTGCTGGGGATAGAACTGAGAGCCCAGAGAATGCCAGGCAAATGCTCGTGGAGCCACATCCCTTGTCCTTGCCTGACATTTTAAGTGACCTCCATTTCCCCTGCCTGCTTCATCTCCATCACTCACTCTCACTTGAACTCTGCAGTTGCACGATACCAAGTGGTTGCCCTGCCTTGAATATACTAGGCCATGGCAGGTTTCTACTGCCAGCCCTTCCCTACTCTGTTTAGCTAGCAAGCACTCATCCTCTGAAGTTCTGCTGAATTACTGTTGGGTTAAGTTTATCAACAGAGCCTGATTGTGGGCTCTGAGAGTGTGTGGCATGAAAAAGAAAAGGATCTGTCTTTGAGGAGTATGTATGCATTGAGGTAGCTAATTAAACTTGGGTGGAAGCTTTGGTCCGTAGAACCTAGAACATCAGAAACTATAGTAGGTTGGGCGAGGTACTGCTGGAAGGTATTATCGGCTTCCTCAGCTCCCTAAAATTATCATCACTCCCCCCAGTGCAGCGAAGCAGCAGAGAAGGGGTAGATGGTACTTACGTGGTGCACTTAAGCATCCTCCACAAAGCAGCAGCTGAGGATGGTAGCAGAGATACCTGCCTGGGTGCCCAGAGCCACACAGGCTGCTACACTCACCTCCCTGGGCTTAGCTCTCCCTGCAAGGTGGCTTTCCTAAAGACTGCCCCTTCTTTTGGCCCCAGCTGCATGGTAGTTATTTGAACTGCAGGCTCCAGGAATAGAACTGCTTGGGTTTGAACCCTTAGTTCTCTTTTCCCTGCTGTGTAATCACACAAATTCCTCACTCTTGCATTATATCACTGTTTCCATCAATTAAACGGAGGTGACAATAACTATCTTCACTCAGGCAGTTGTTGGCAAGATTAGATGCACTGATACATGCACATTAAAAAAAAATATGTACATTTTTTAGAACAGCATGCAGCATATAGAGTGCAAAAAAGCCACAGACTGCTATCTCTCTTTTCTACCTGTCTGGGCAGAGCTCAAAGGACAGGACTGAATGTGGTCAACAGCTGAATCCCACCAAGAGGTCAGAAAAGAGTGAGTGGCCTGAGGAACATACATACAACCAAATATGTGACAACTCCAAGACTGGGCTCTTCTTGCTTGGCAGGTCAGCTGAGTAACTGGGAAGGTGGCAGCAGACCTGGGGCAGGGACCAGGATCGTGGCCCAGGTGAGGAAGGCAATGGCACTTAAGGGGAGATGAGCATCCTCTTGACTTGCCACTTGCTGCGCTGTCTAGGGAAGTCCTTCCCTGTGCCTGTGATCTGGGAACCAAAGAGTGTCCCAGTTTCTTGGGACTTGAAAAGGGCTAAGCAGAAAGATGGGCAGGACCCCACTTGGCATCTGTTGCTAACAGGGGTCCCTGCTGGGTGGAGAAGAAAGCCTCGTACTTGATCGGCCCTTGGATCCTCCTGTTCTCTGAGCAGGGCAGGGCCCTGAGGAAGGCTAGGGGTGCTGCTCTCCCATAACCACAAGTAAGCCCTCCCTTGGCTCAAGGGGTACAGAGCAGGAGAATTGAGCAGATACACATGTGGTCCAAACTCAGCTCCTCACACACTGGTTGTATAGCCTTGGGCACATCATTTATAACCTCTCTGAACCTCAATTTCTTCCTTTGTAAAAAATGAGACAATTTCTTTGCTTGGCCATAGTGATGATTAGAGATAATGTCTGTTAAGTCTTTTTAAAAATTGATATATGTTTGTAATGTAATATTTACATTCACTTTGAAGAGTTTATATATCATATCATGATCAATTTTGATTCCCTTTCCATCCCACCTGTTAAGTTTTAGCAGAGGTCTAGTCTAGCACATTGAATATAGTCCTTAAAAGTGTGTTGATTTTCCCTTTTAGAGCTATCCTTGACTAGAGAGGGACTGTCCAGTTGTGAGGACTCAAGAGCTCCTCAAAGAATGAGGACCCCATGAGCCCTGTGTGACCGTCTTATCAGTGTAGTTTTAAAGAAGTGATGCAGACAACATCTGACACACAGGGAGGAAGAAGAGCTGCCAGGACCAGACTAGTTCCTGGAGCTCATGTGATCCAACCTGCCTGCCTGTCATGTGAGGTCCCTGTGCCCAGAGATAGTGGTGACTTGCCAAGGCCACCGACCAGTAGGGAGCAGAGCTGGGACTGTAAGTTCAGCCCATGGCACCTCTGCCCCATTTGTCTCTGCAGAAAGCAGTCATGAAATGTCAACATTTGGCTGGTTTTCCCTCAGAAGTGACCTGCTGGGCCCCTGACCAGAGAGGAGGCTGGCCTGCACCTGCTGACCACCTGAACGGGCACACAGCAGCGGCGAGTAGAGGAAGGATCAGCCAGCCTGTGTCCTGGGCCTTTGCTGGTTACAGCTCTTGATGCTTCTAGGTGTTTTCCTACTCTGTAGTGGCCTTTGGTAACTTACCTCATCAAACAGCTGCAGCATGATGGTGAGCACATCTGGATGGGCCTTGTCCACCTCATCGAAGAGCACTACAGCATTGGGGCACTGCTTTAATTTCTTGGTCAGCTGCCCACCCTCCTCATGGCCGATATAGCCTGGTGGGGACCCAATAAACTTGGCCACCTGGTGGAAGGAAGAAAACAGGCTAGGAAAGACTTCTGTACTTTTAGTCTGCAAGATGGGGCCAACATGGGAAGGTGGCTTTATATCCTATTAAGACTGCCCCTCTTCCCTGGTGTGGCAGAAATCCCAACATGAGGCAGACAAATCTTTTTGTTTATTCTTCAGAGCAAATTCTATGCAAAACACATCAGTGACTCTGCTGGACACGTGCTTTCAACAACAAATCCCAGAGTTGCTGGAATTATCTGAGGCCTAAAGGCCTAAATGACAAGGCATATAAAACACCAAGGCAATCATGTAGCCAAGCCTTCCAACCACACCTCCTTGAGGATCTCTTACCTCATGTCGCTCCTGGAACTCAGACATGTCCAGCCTGATAAAGCCCTGTGTGGAAACAAGCAGGGAACAAACAAATCTGTGTGGTAGCAAGAGGTAGAGGAAGGCATCGGGGAGAGGATCCCTACTACCTCTGCACTGTTAGGCCCCACTGGCTGGAGATTTCTGTGGCATCCTCATGATACGTTTTTCTTGGTCCTTACCTCCTTTTCTGCTCACTCATTTTCTACCCATGCAGGTATGTCCCTGCCCTTCCAAACGTGACTCAGGACATATCTTCCTTCTACTCTTCTGAGTAGAAGTGTTGACCCCTCCACATCTGCTTCCCTCCCATGTTTCTAGAAGATGTTACTGTATGCTCAGCACTATGGTTAAAACAATGAACAAGTCCTGACCCCTGTCCTCGAAGGGCCTCCACCAAGTGGGGCAGGCAGATATGCACAAAGCCAGCCCCACCAGTGGGGATGATGATGAGACAGTAGGAAGGGCTCCATTGTGCCCCTTAACTCTGTGAGTCTGTGTAGGGCACACATACATGTTTTAAGTTTACTTTTCTTAGAATGAATGCATCTTTCCATTTATTGATAGTTCTTCATTCTCTTAAGGTATCTATGATGTAGCTCACTGCCCTCTCTCATCAGTGGGGTTAGGTCTAACTTCCAAGAAGTGTGTCCTGGAGGGAAGGGCAGGCTAAGCTCCAGGGGAAGAAAAGACTGATCTGAAGAGTAAACACAGGCAAAGCGCCCCTTTCTTGTCATGAAGAATTAACAGTCAGGGAACCACAAGGGTTCTGTCCATCTGCCCAGGTCAGGCTCTTCTACTGGCTCGTGCTTCCATCTGAGAGCAGTGCTTATCAACCCTGCTGTTGCTGAGAGAAGGCATGATGGGGCACCAAGACACTCAGAGGAGGGCACCTAGGTCTGAAAGCCAGGGTCATGTTTTAGCTTGGTCACTGCTCAGAAAGTCACTCAAAGATGTAGTTTTAGTTCTATGTGGGTATAGGATGGCAGGGGGAGCCCTGGGCCGGAAACAGAGTTTGGCTTTAGCCCCAGTTCTGCCATTACTAGGTGGCTGTGGATGCTGCCTCCCCTTGTACAACGCTCTTTCTTCCTAATGTAAACCTCTGGGCACCTCTCTCTGCCTCACTTGGGGCCTGATGAAGAGACCTTCCCAGAGGTGGGAAAAGGCTCAGAGAGGTGATTAAGGCTGTGTAGAAGCAAGCAACTGCTCCCAGAGTGTGGGGCACAGGATGGCAAGCATATCAAAAGGGTCCCTTAGCTGCTCAGCCGCAGGACACACAGGCTGCAGGAAGGGTGATGATGTTACAGGAAAGCACAGGGGGAGCAATGGTCTGATGGGTGAAAGCCAACTATAAGACAGGTGAAGTTCGAAGCAAGCTACAGAGGGCTAAGAACATGTGCGGCCTGTGGGCTAAGTACTATCACCATCCCCACTGCACAGATGAGGAAAGTATCAGAGATGAAAGCAACTTGCCCAAGGCCATCTGGCTGCACATCTGCATTATGTGATACTGCCCTACAGTTTTTAGCAGACAATCAGCTGGGTTCTTGGCAGTCTTCCTTTGCAGGGCTCTGAACTTTGTGCTCAGGTGTTAATGTCCAGTAGAGACGGAGGACAAACACTAGTGCTTATTTATGTCAAGTGACCTGGCTTCTCACACTAGTTCTAGCAAATCACTGTGTAACTCTAAACAAGTTTTTGGCTTTCTTGGTTGTAATCATTTTGGTGTCACATGATCTTAGCTTGAGGTTATCTACAAATAAAGCAACAATAATTATAGTAACATCCAACATACATTGATTGCTTATTGTATGCTAATAATGTTTAATATTGTATATCTTATCTTATGAAACTTTCATCACTACCCAATAGAACAGGCAGCAATACTGAACCCATTTTACAGATAGGAAAACGGATACAAACAAGAACCTAATCAATTCCATGTATTTGGGGGGAGTTGGGATTCACCCCAGGAAACTGAACTCAAATACTTGCTTTTAATCCTGTTATCACTGTGTCACTATACTGAAAATCTGTGGGGCCCATCATACACCTCATGATGACATCAAAAAGCCCACTATGGATCCTTCTCAAGGATTATTAACACTAGCAATGAAAGTTAATAAAGCTCAATTTGGGAAAAATAACATTAGTTTAGAGAAAAAACAAAAATAAACAAACAAACAAAAAAAAAACCCAATTTACAACAGACCTGATAAAAAACTGTAAAAATGTGCCAACAATTCCTTGTGAGGCAGCAAGATCCAGAGGTATTAGTATCTTTATAAATGAGGAAGCTAAGGCCTCAGAGAGCTGGAACAAGAATTTAAGTCTCTGGCTGCCAGGCCAAGGCTCGTTTCATTTCACAAGCCACCCTGCAAAGCAAACAGAGGGAACTCTCATTGGGAAGAGCTACTTTACCTTAGGTTCTTCCCATACATCACTCTTTGGGCTCTCTGGAAGCATCAAGTTGATGGGTTAGAGAGCTAACAGTTCAAGCTAACAGTCCACAAACTGTTACTCTTGGATTTTAAAGGAAGGTCTGTTATAAAGCTAGGAAAAAAATGTCTATATTAAACATACTCTGGCCAGGGATTTAGCTCAGCGGCATAAGCACCTGCCTGGCAAGCGTGAGGTCATGAGTTTGATCCCTGGTACAAAAAACAAACAAACAAAAATCCAAACAAAAGCCATATTCTGTGATAAGTTGACTCCTAGGACTTGTACAGGTCAGACGTCTATGGAAGAATCATTTATGATTTTAAAATAAAACGGTTTTATTAGGTTTCTCATGGCTCTCATCTCCTTCTGTGAAACATGGAGAAAATGACAAATTTACAGTATGGTCTCCTGGAGCAGCTAGGGGAAGGATGGCATTGAGAGAAGGGTCAAAGTATGAATTCACTTCTGTCCCTAACAGTGCCCTCATCTGATGCTCACTACAGCCCTAAGACACAGGACTGGATAGCTGAGGCAAGAGCACTGAAATCTCATGGGGGAAAGGAAGGAGCTCTCTAGGGTTAAGAGAAAGTAGAACGAGAGCTTGGCCAACGAATGCTAGGTCCAGGGCTTTGCCAGCCACATCCTGCCAGTGTCACACCCATAGGACACCTTGCACTGGGATCAATCTGTCTCCCATTCAAATGCACCAAGTGAAAATCACTTGCATCATCAGTCTTTTAACAAACCACCCTCTCCTTTCTACACCAGCACGTCAGCAGATATTTTCCTTCCACTTCTACTGTGTATGAAGACATATTAAGACAGCTTGGATAAAGAGATTATAATTTGTAATTAAATATTAACCTTTCTGACAGTATTAAAAATACAGTTAGAATTCTTCATCCCTAATCAGGTGGTTCCTGCCTGTAACTGCATCTTCCCTAAGAGTCTTGCTAGTTTATGGCCCTTTCCAGAGTGCTAATTGTTTCAATCGCTGCCAACCTGATGAATTGTCTTAAAAATGCTATTTTGGTTGGAGCATATTAGCAGGGCATGCGCTGCTTCTTGCCTGCCTGGCTGTCAAGTGGGTCTGCTCTGGGTTTGGTTGAGTCATAGCACAGCTACTGGTGGAGCCAGGGAGGCGTGAGAGCCTTCTGCATTTGTAGGCAAAGGGGGCTCAAGAGGACACAGCCTGAGCTACCCTGTTTCTGGGGATGCCAGGCTCTCAGGGTAGGTGGCAAGAGGGTAGGGAGGCAACAAGAGGAACAGGAGAATGGGACTCTGCTGCTGGGGCCTAGGCAATTCATTGCCTCAGGGAGAGGCTTTACAAAGAAACTAGGTGGGCTCTGGGGTTCTCCAGCACACTCCAGTCACAGGCAGGAGGACTTTTAGCCAGGAAGGCTGGTTAGGATAGTGTTTAGCTTTTGTTGCAATGTTCTGCACAGTTTCTAAGGACTGCTCTCTTGAAAGCATTTGTCAGCCTAGAGAGTTAAACTGAGCAGACCTTAGAAAGCCTGAGTGTCAACAAGCAGGGGACGAGGCAGGCTCTTTTGTAAGGGAAAACCCAGGCATTTGAGCCATGGGAAGAAACATTACAAGCAGCTCAGCTTTTAGCACAAGAGACCAGGTTTAAAAGCTCGTGCAAGGCCAGGCATGGCAGGGTGCATGTTTATAATCCCAGCTACTTGGGAGGCTGACAGAATTCCAGGTTCAAGCCCAAGCAGAGCAACTTAGTGAGACTGTCTCAAAATTTAAAATTTAAAAAAGGGTCAGGAATATAGCTAAATGGTACAGCACTTTCCTAACATGTGCAAGGCCCTGGGCTCATTTTCAAATACCAACCAAACCAAACCAAACCAAACCAAACCAAACCAAACCAAACCAACAAAACAAGCAAGCTCATGTAAGACACAGAGAAGCAACAGGCATCATCTTATTCCTGTATGTTTTTTTGTAACAGCCCCCAAAACTCTCTTTAGCACAGCTCTGATTCCCCTGGAAGCTGCTCCAGCCTGAGGAGGAAAGCCTTAATTAACACTGACCTATAGCACGCAGCATAGCACCTAGAATGGGGCAGGTGCTTGACAATGCTGGGTGGATCAATCTCATTTGGTTTTCTCAGGAGCCCAAGAATCAGGCAAGCTGAAAATTATATTCCTGTTTTATAGATAAAGAAACCAAGAAACAAAGAGGTTGGATAATTTCCCTAAACTCCTAGATTAACTGGTGGCCAAAGTTGAGGTGTGTTCTTGGGCGAGGACTCATCTTCTTGATTGGGTTTTTGCTAGTTTCAGAGAGCTTTGGATTTGGGCATGGCATGATTGGGCAAGGTTTCCATGGACTGCAAACCAGGCCTCAGTCCCAGCCCTTACCTTTTTGGCATCTTTGTGCATGTATTTGGCTGTCTGCTTGGCCAGCTCTGTTTTTCCTAGTGACGAAGAAGGAAGGAAAAGGAATGGGTTAGGACTAGATGACTGGAAATGCCAGGACAGCAGAAAGCTTAAATATTATGGATGGAATGGTGAGGCTCAGAGTGTCTCCTAAAGTAGGGAATGAATGGTAAAACTGGGATCAGAATCAAGTCTGCATTACGTCTTGATTTTTCTGTGGGTCGGATTGAGGCCTTTACTCTGTAGCACCACGATGATGGTGGAGGGGGAGTGGTGGAAAGGCAGTATGTGAGTATGCAGAGTAAGGAGCTGAGCATTCATCAGATAATGCAGCCCAACTGGCTAAAAAAATACCCAATCTTCTGTAATCCGAGCCTGGCAATTTAGTGATTTAGAGACCCTGTCTCAAAAATAAAGCTGTGTGTGGTGGTATGAGCCTAGCACTAAGGAAGCTGAGGAAAGAAGAATGCCACAAATTCAAGGCCCGCCTGAACTACATCGTGACACCCTATCAAAACAAATCAAAAAAATAAAGAATTGGGAATTGTGGCTCAGTGCTGAGGGTCCGAGTTCAATGCCTAGTATTGTGGGGAGAAAACAAAATAAAAGAAAAATATTCAATGCATTCTATTAGAACCAGTTATGCTCTGTACCTGGCACTGTGCTGGTCACTGAGGTTTTCTCTAGCTTCCTGTAGCTAGGCTGCTCTGAATGTGGTTGGTGTCCTGGGCAGAGAAGGTGGCTCAACTGTTCCCAGAGTAGAGTGGCCTGACTAATGCTAATGGGTCCCAAGGGCCTGGTCCCTAGATGAATTAGTCCTTGTACCCCTGAGTGTACAAAGGGAAAGGCATGATTCTAGCTGCCTGTAAAATGGCAGATGATTAAACCCCAGAATCTTCTTTCCTGATGGCTCTGTAATTTGGAGGTAGCTGCTTCCAGAGCTAAGCGTTGAACTTAAGGTAGATGGTGTGACCCCTGGCCCAGCTGCTATAGGTTCACACTGGGTGCTCCCCTTCCCCACTGGCTGATGTGATCCTGATTACCTATTCCAGATGATCCCAAGAAGAGGAAGACCAGAGGGTGTTCTTCATCATACCAGCCATTCTCCTTCCTCCGGATTGCTGTGGCCAAACACACAAGACGGGGGGACAGGGAGGGAGGCAGATAAATCAATGACACAAAAGGCAGGATAATTATCACTAAGTATACAATATGTTTTACTGCTCTGCGCCCACTCAAAGTCCTCACTACCATTAGTGCTGCCTAATCTGATTAGCTGGCAAGGCCCCTAGAGATACCTAATCAGGTTAGCATGGATTTGGAAAGCTGCCCAGAGCAGATTTCGGATAAAGTTTTCCAGGATGAGCACTCAGCGTTGCCAGGGAAACTGAAAGGCGGGTGGATGGTGAATGGAGGTGAAGGGGGTGGGGATCGGTGAAGGAGATTTAGAGAGGAACTTCAGTTTTTAATGGTTACCCCTCTATTCATCTATGCAAATGGGATAGGCAGAAGCCCTTGGCAGTTGGGGATCTGAGGTGTGAGCTCTGGGGTGCTTCCCATTTGAGGAAACCAAGGTCTGGTCTACTGTCTGGACTAGGAAATGGAAACACCGCCAAAACTTTTTTTGGAAGCCAACAGAGGGTGGTGTGGAGCTTGCAGCACAGAAGGGGTAAGCCAGTGGTTAGCATCTCTGCTAACCAAAGCCTCCAGTGGGGGCGGGGTGGGGTGGGGCTGGGAAGCAGAATGGGTCTGTGTTAGTTCCCTTTGGGGCTTAACTCTGCCAGAGCAAGGCATGACTTCTTCAAGAGGAAGTATATGATCAAGAGCCATGTATTTGAGGCAAGGACACTGGGAGAAGCGGGCTCAGAAATGCCATTCAAGTATAAGAATAGGGAAGGAAGCAAGAATCACTTATTACACACATTGTATGCTAGACACAAGTAGAAAAATCTACCAACAACATATTTACTCAAGACCCACAAACACCCCAAGGGGAAAATATTCTCAACTCCCTTCTACTAAGAGAGATTTGCTTAAGTCACAAAACTAGAAGATAGTAGAGTTGTTTTCTCTAAAGCTGTCTTTTTAAAACTCACATATGGCTGGTTTAAAAAATTTGTATCAATTTGGGTTGCATTAATGGAAACATGGCAGTCAGGAGCAGGACAAGGACAGAGCACTGTGCAATGTCAAAGTCTATCTGCAGATAGAAGAGCATGTCTGCTGTGGTCCCCAGAGTATTGGGCAAAATTAGCAAAGGGACATATGTCAGAGGAGAAGGTCTGGAAACTTAGTCAATAAAGAGAGACTGACAGTCTTAGGACTAAGCCTCAGCGTTACCAGTCTTGAGGGAATTGTAGCAGGGTTTCAAAGCAGCTGCAGAGGTCAGGGAAGACTCAGTGGGAGTGGCAGGACTAATGTTGGGTCATGAAGGTGGGGCAGGATTTGGAGAGGTAGTAAGCATGACAGAGGCAGAGTGGTGGTGAGTAGGATCAGATTATGAGAGTCTAGATGACCTGTCTTAGTTCAGTCCCATGCTTGTGGTCTTTTTCACTTCTGTCTCTTATGCTACCTTAATGTACTTTCTGTTTCTGGCCTTAGTATCAACAGATGGAAACTGCAATCTCTCAGATGGTAGACTAGTCACTTTTGCCTGACCAGGAGATGCTCCCTGAAAACCCTGAAAGAGGCTTGGGAAAATATTCAGCCCAACCACTCTCTTGGGCAAGGGTATAGATCTCCAACTAGTCCAGTTCTCTGGAAGGGTTAGTAATGAGGGAAACTCACAGACCTCTTAGGTATCTGAACATGAGAGATGAAGCAGAAGATGGCCACACCTGGTTGATGGACAGTCCCTGGTGTCCCAACAGAAACAGGGACTTCAAGGTGAGGATATCTGGAGGAAGTGGATGAACTAAAATGGTGCACACAAGACTTCCATGGATACTTTGTGCACACATGTGTGTTTTGTGTGTTGGAGGAGGGCTGCAAAAGAGGTGACCTGAAAGGAGCCACATTCTTAGCTAAATCAAGAACTTGGGTTGGGAAGAGGTAGAGTATGAACTGGGTTCATGTTTCATAGGAAGGGAGTATTACACAGGCAACACTAGAAAGGTATCACGTACATGAGGTTCTGCTTGACTTTTCTTTCAGGATGGCATCCCTGCCCTTTGAGAGCTGCACACTGCTGGGCTGTGCAGTACTAAAAACACCATGGAGAATGGAGAATTGAATTATGCTGGGGCCATCTTTCCTCCCTTCTTTTCTAATAATGCACCTGGGAGAGAGCTCTTTATAATGCCAGGCAGACTCTACTGCACAGCTGTCCCTGGTCAATTCTGTCAGACCCAGGGCATGAGTCTGGGGTGGGCTTGATCGGGGGCCCCCATGAAACAGGCGAAATGCCAACCATTAAACAATTACAACTCTGGATATTTCTAATAATATCTTAAGAGAAAAACAGCCAAGCAGATGGAGTCCGACAGAATGAAAAATAGAAGCAGCCAGGAAGGTCTGGGGAAGGCGAGCCCCAGGGTGTATGTTGATGGGTGGCTGAGGACCAAGTTGAGGAGCCTAGATGGTCAGGGGACTGACAGACATTTGGATGTGGCCCTAAGTGTTGGTGCCTTCACGGTAGACGAGCAAATGAGCAACTTACTCTGCCAGCCCTTAAAAACTTCTGTAGACATAATTTCACACCAACCTCATGACCACCTGAGGCAAGTAGGAGAGAGAACTTAATTCTCATTTTATAGATGAGAAAATAAGTACAGAGAAGTTAAGAAACCTGTTCATGGTTACACAGACCCTGTGTATGGTCACGAAGACCCTGGGCTTTAACCCTGCTCTTGCTGACTCCGGTACCTCAACTGGTGTTTCAGGGAATGTAAAGGAGGGAGGGAGCTCCCCTCCTCTGGCCTTCTACTGCCCAGCACCTCCTCACACATTTGGCTTGCCAGAAAAATGTTTCCTCTGTAGTCTTCCAATCCAGCTTACTCAGCCATTCAACATATGGCCTCAAGGTACCCCTGTTCTCACCGCTGCCCTTGGGCTTGAGATATTGTCAGGCCTTCTGGATGGGCAGCTTAGTGCCTCTGCCTCCCACATGCTGTGCCTTTCCTGGTCACATCTCTTGTTGTTAGACCACCTGAAGTCACCGCAACAACTCTTTACAATCAATTCTGTAACACATCTACCCCATTAAATTCACAGGTCTGAATTTTCCGATGTGTGGAGAGCACTTACCGAGTGGTATGGTGGAGAGCGTAGGAGTTACTGCAGCTCACTCAGGGTCCTGCCTCTGTTACCTGCTAGTTGACTGACTTTGAGTGAAACACCTATTTAATTTCTTTCTTCCTTTTTTTTGAGACAGAGTCTCTCTGTGTAGTTCAACTGGCCTTGAATTCACTATGTAGCGTATGCTGGCCTTGAACTCATAGTGATCCTCTTGCACCAGCCTCCCAAGTGCTGGAATTACAGATACGCATCACCATACCTGGCTCCAAAACACCTATTTCTTTAAGCCTCAGTGCTGGGCAACAGGCAAAATACTGTATTTGCTCCATATGAAGATGAAGTGAATTAATATTTACAAAGACATATTGTAAACTGCAAAGAGTAGAATAACAACATGAATAAGCTGGGTACATATGGTGTGTACCTACATCCCAGAACTTTGGAAGGCTGAAGATCATTGGATTTCATTAGTTTGAGATTAGTCTGGGCAACAGAGTAAGACCTCCTCTCAAACAAATGAGACAAAAAACAGAACAAAACACAAAAAATCAAAACCAGTAGAAGTACAAATAGTGGAAGTCAAACAGAACAAAACACAAAAAATCAAAACCAGTAGAAGTACAAATAGTAGCAATAGCAGCAGTCATTAGTTTGATATTTTATAGATATCTTTTTCATCCTGATAGCAATCCTTAGAAGTAGGTATTATCTCCACTCTACACAGGATGTAACGGCCTCACGAAGAGGGCACTGTAGGGATTTCATCTAACTGTGCCCTCATATCAAAGGGGAGACCATGCCCCCAATCACACTGTGTTCCATCAGAGCAGGTGTTGGGCCTTCAATTCCTGGGGGTCCTGAGACTAGCCCAACACTGGTTTAAGTTGGCTGCCTACATGGATTGAGCCTTGGTCTTTCTGGAATTAGGAGGAGGAAGAAGACAAGATTTTTGAACTCGCATTTTATGGAGGAGAGTATGGTCTGGACCCAAGAGTCTCTCAGCATTCCCAGTGGTTTCTACGCCCCTCTGAATTCTCTCTTGGGAGCCTTATATGAGTGTTCAGCCAACATGCCAGGTACTGGGATGTCACAGGGTGGTCTAGAACCAGTTGTATGCTTAGGAGGGAAATACTGCTATGAAAATGGTAGGTTCTAAATGAGTGGGAGAAGTACAGGAGACCTCTCTGAGCATGTCTGACATCTGTGCTTAAAGGATGAGGATGAACTTGCCATGCCGTTGGGAGTTATAAAACAGCAAAGAGGAAAGAGCTGCCTCTTTCTCCCACCCCAGCCCTTGCCCCCATCCATCTCAAGGTTCTGGGCAGTCTGGGTGGCTGATTTATCCTTCTTGGTAAGTTCTAATGACCAGGTATGGAAGGTTTTTAAACTTCACCTGAAACACACTGTTCCATATTGTACCATTTCCCAGCCTTTCAGAGGGACTCTCATGGTTGAGTTATCTCAGAGTCTGTCAGCTGTGTCAAAATTGGCTCAGACTTCATTTACCTGAATTCAACAACCACACTTATGCAACTCAGGAAACAGCTGATTCAAGGCAGTCCCTGACCTCTGAAGGAAAAAGACATACAAACACAACAGACATCATGTGGCAGGATGGTGACAAAGGTGTCCAAACAAAGTCCAGAGAGAGGACCCTGAAACCAGAGAGGAATAGGGTGGGGGCAGGGAGCCTGGTGAAGCCTATGTCTTGAGTATTGGCAGGGAAGTCTAGGCAATGAGAATAGTAAAGCACAGGCAGGGACCTTGAAGTGATATGGAGTGGAGCTACAAGCAGTTCCAGTTGTCTCTCACATCAGGCACCTGTCCTCATAGAAAGGCCTGAAAGGCAGGGGCTTAGAAAAGATCATACTTTTACATTAGCCAATGAGAGACAGGATGGTGCACCCCAGAGTGCCACATGATGCTGAGATTCTGCACATGGGCCAGACTGTAGTTGAAAAGGGCACTTGAAGGGGCAGAGTTTGTCCAAGGGAGTGCAGACACTTCAGAGGGACCTCTGGGACAGGCAGAACGGTTGTCAGGCACAGGTTTGTGGCCTAAAAAAGCTCTGAGGAGCTTCTGGCCACTCTGGTCATGCCAGATGTGTGCATGCTGATTTGCTGCCCAGGGAAAGTTACTTATAACTGGTCTGGGGAATGGGTCATCCTTCCAGCCACTGACCTAGGGGTCAAAGATCAGTTAATATGGTTGTAATTAAGGCTCTTGCTTAAGTCCTGTTCCCAGCATGCACGTGAGCTAGTAGAAGGCTGGTGTACAGCTTCTCTCTTCACAGTACATCATAGAGCTTGGACAAGAGGCTGTGCCACAGAAATACATTTCTGTGCATTCAACTACTTTTGAGCACAGTGCTGTTCCAGGAAGTGGACACAAACAAGCTGCTGATCACTGCACCTGAACTGAGTTAGCCTAGGGAGAAAGCAGCTAGTGTGTGGGAGATGGGCTGGACTGGGGTGGGAGGGTCAGAGAAGGAGGAACCATAGACTGTGAGGGAGCAGTGACAAATGCACATGGCAGATATGCTCACTGCGTGCACAGAAGCAGAAGCAGGTACTGTGGCTGCTGTGTGTAGTGCCAAGCAGGGGGCAGTGGTAGCAGCAGTGAATCTTGCACACCACAATATGGTAGTAAGGGACACTCAAATGTTTTCAGCAGGGGAGTGACACTGTTTGGTTTGTGTTTTCCACAGATCACTCTATCCAGCAAGGAGATCTAATTCCAGGGGAAGGAAGGGAGGCAGGGAAACCACTGAGGAGACTACAGCCATGGTTCAGATATCCTGAACTAAGGCAGTGGTATCAGGAACATGGATTGAGAGCCATTTGAGCGGTAGAATGACAGAACTTGATATTTGGGCTGTAAGGGATAAGGGGAAGAGGCCAAAGAATTTCTAAATTTCTCTTTAGGAAACCAATGAATGGTCCAGTTCTCAGTGTGCTCAACAGACAGCTAGTTGCCTCCTGGAGGCAGTTCCAGGAGGTCTGCCCGACGGCGTGGGCATCCTCCCCCCATCACAAACCATATTCCAGATTCTGGAAGGAGAGCCTCACCTCCATGCCAAGGCTCTAGTCTGCAGAGTGCAGGTTGGCCCTGCTTTGGCTCTGATGACCCTGGAAGACCAGAGAGGACATCAGGGCCTGGTGCTTTATCTCCTCCATTTGTAAGGCAGTAACTGTGCACCAGCCTTCCTAGAGGCCCTGCAGCTGGGGATCACACTGATAAATTCACTGTATTACTTTGCACAAATCAATATCCCAGCACTTACCAGGGGTTGATGTGACCGAAATTGGTTTCAGCCAATTCGTGAGGGTAATAAATGGCCATTTATCAAATCAATTCATTCTGCGGCACTTTTCTGGCTGCCCATGATCATGGTACCCATGGGGTGCCAGGCCTCAGCCAGCCAGTCCCTAGCACGCATGTGACACTAGCCTAGAGGACTCACACAGGCCAGGCCTAGCCTCTTGATGTGCCGCACTCTCCTATACCTGCTTCAGCTATGAAGTGTTGAGGTCCAGAGTGCTGCCTGCCCACAAGTTGTGACCCAGTGAATGTCTCAGGCTTTGCCTGCCTTCATAGCACAACAACACGCTACTTATTCTTTCCTACCAGAGAGTTCTGGGAACTGGTCACAGGAAATGAATGTGGTTTGGAATATTAGCAGTGGGCTTCAAACTTCAGGGCTTCTCAGCAAGACAGGTGCATAGTTACCCTTTTACAGCTGGAGGCAAAACACCAACCGTGCACAACTCTGATCCTAATTTGTACGGTAGTGATCACGAAACTATGGTATGCATGTTGCAACAGGCTGTAGGTATCCCTGAAAGCTCTAAAAGGTTCACCATCACTGTCCAAGGGTTTTTAAAGCCACAGGAGGTCCAACCTACATATCATAGGACAAAGCACAGGGCTTTCTGGATGTCCACTTTACTGCTGACCTGAGGCAGAGTCCAAGGACGGAAGGGGAACTACAGGTGGGAGGAGGAGTCACTGTGCATGTGCATTCTGAGGGTTTTGGAGGTGGTGTGAATTATCCACTCTTGCTCTGGCCCAAGAGCAAGGAAAGACAAGATGGGTGATACATCAGCGGTCAATGTGGGGACAGGGAAGAGGCAGGCTGTGGGACTCAGTCCTAGGTAAGAAAAAAAATCAGCTGTGGAGTTGACTTCAAGAACCTGGGGCCTACCTCAAGACGGAACATTGTGAGAACAGGGACTAGTCACTGCTATATAGCACAGACAGGAACAGACACATGCTTTAGGGTCACATGGACTTAAAACTTACACCCACCACATGAGTGAGGGAACTTTGAGGCCAGCTGCACAGTGAGAAAGTGGTGGGCTGAGCCTGGTCTAATTCTATAGCAATGTCTCTACTTCTGGCGAGCTTCACAGTTTGTGGGCTGAGGAGCAGGTAACAAGTGCCATCGGAGGCCTGCTGGGGAAGGTGTGTATGAAGCTGGGAGAATTGTGAGGGCAGCCCAGTGATGTGAGACTCCATTCAGGTTATCGGTTTCTTATGCTGGGCTACTTTCTTCAGCCCATGAGAGCAGCACCCAGAGCCTGCCTTCCCTCTATCTTGGATACAACTTTGTCAAAGGAGTTGGGGTTTTCATCTCTAAGGTGGCAGGTGGGGATGGATATTTGTATCCAAACCCCAAAGGGCAGCTTAGTGTGGTCTGGGCTTGTGTGTTCACATCCTGCTCAGCTCCTGTGTGCGCCAGCCACCTTCTGACCTTTATCTGGGGAGGCAGCTCTAAAGTCTCTGGGCCTCTTCCCTCTGCTGATGGGGTCAGCCCTGTAATGAGGGACTCATGAGGGAGCAGTGAGCCTTGCCGGTGTGTGAGAATGATGGGGATCAGGCTGGGCCTGGAACATCACAGGGTGACTTTCACCAATCTTCACTTTCTCTTAGGGTTGATAATGCAGCCCCAGTGTCCTAGAGGGCGGCCTAGACTTCAGGATAGTGGCTCCTATTCTCAGTGAGCAGAACCCAGTGAGTTTTTAGTAGTCACGTGGCTTGATCTAGCAGGACTACAGAGAAGAATAAGCCCATGTCAGTGACCTGCCAAGACATCTCTGGGCAGTGGGTTTTAAGTTCCAGCCAAGTGTCAGACTGTCCAAAAAGCTTGTTTAAAACACAGATCCCTGGGGACGACTTCTTTGCTTCAGTTTGGCATAAGGTCCCCCCCGCAACCACTCTCAGCAGAACATAGCTGAACACATCTGTCAAGGGGACTTTGCTGGTACAATTAGGGTCACCAGATTACAGGTTACACACTTTGGCTTCCAGGGGCCAAAGGATGGGAATAAGAGTTTCACAGGTGAGGAAGAAGGCATGCCATGCTTTGGAATGTTCTCTGTAAGACTGCGCCAACTGAAGAGACAAGACAACCTAGTGCTAGCTCAGCTGCCATGTTAGTGGTAATGGGACAAGCTCCCACCTCTCTTTGGGTCTTATGTGTCCCACCTTAAAAGCCGGGCATGGGAACAGTGGACCACACAAAGGTGAGTGTCAAATCTAAGCAATCTAGGACAAATTATTTAAGTGTATGCTTTAGCTTCCTCATCTAAAATGGGGTTTTTATTTAAATGACAAAAATGCAAAGAAGTTATGAAAATGCCTGGCTAGAGATACTACTCAATACATCTTAACTTTTATTATTAACCACACCTCACCACAGCACAAGTGCCCTATCCTGTCTGGCACTCGAGAGTGTCCCGCGTGGTACTCACCGGCACCCACGGTGGTGATGGCATTCTCCTGGCCAATGATGTGCTCCCTCAGTCGCTGCTCCAGGGGGAAGCGGCGCCGTTCCTCAGCCTCACGCTTCCGCTGCTTCTCCTGGTACTGCAGGGAGAGGGGGAATGTGGTTCAGAGAGCTGGGCTCAGAAGGACCCTGCTTTCATTCTATTCCCTAACTCAGGAAAAAACAGGTGTGGGGGCTGGTGGGGGGTGGTCTGGGTCCCATTCACAGCTCTGGCTCATGACCACTAGGCTGATTGCTCTTCCCACTCTCCCTTCACTTATCCTGGTATTTCTGCAAGGAAAAGAGCCAGACCTCTCCAGGGAGCTCCAAGTCAGAACCTGCACACAAATGCTCTTCAAGTGGAACCAACCACTTTCCTTGTGGCTTCAGAATATAAATGTTTACTGCTAGGACTGTACCTGTCACTGAAAAAACTACTTGAAAATGAGTTTGTTGAATGTTTGTGACTCTTATCTCTGACTCACTTTTAAGCTCCCTGAGGGCAGACATTCATTTCTATTTCCAGTATGGTCCTGGTACAGTGGCAGTATCTGGTGCATGTTTGTAAAACTGAATGTGATCACAGAGACAAAGTGAGAGAATTTATAGCTAGATGGAGTGGTACACAAGTGCAGTGATGAGAAACACATGTAAGGGTGAGACGCTGTGGGCCTTTCTGGAAAACAGCTTAAAGCTGTCTGGCAACTGGGCAGAGAAGCGTCAGGGAATGGGCTGGATAGGAGAGTATTGATGAAGAGGAAGGAAGTGATCTTGGAGTGGAAAGGAAACGCCAAGTCTTTAGAAGGCCCTTTTCCCAAAGACCCTATGACAGTGACATCTTTCTAGAAAGAGAGCTGTCAAGGTAAGTCCCCATCACAAAAGTTGCAATTGCAAATTGCTCTTGTGGGCAGAGTGGATGAAAAATACTTGCTGCTTGGGCAGTGTTTTCCTGTTATGGTAGTGACCTTGACAGAAGTTAAAAAAAATAAATTGCAAACAATCCAATTTTGGTTGTTGCTATCAGTCTGTAGCTGAAAGCTCACGTCAGTCCTGGGGTTTCATATGGAGCAATAATTCGGCGCCGATCCCAGTGGAACGACGCTTGCCGGCTGGAATCCAGAGTGTCACGGTGCGGCTCCCTCAGGCGCCACATACATCACCTGGCTCTGCGACTGCAGCTATATATCTGCCTCCTCCTCCTCCCTGCCCACCAGCCTGCTCAGTGTTTGGGCCCACTCAGCTAGAGGGCTCTGATGATAAGAGGTACAAACCTGGCTGGGACAGCACCTGCTTGCTGAAGCAGCCTGAAGGGGAAGATGGCTTGTGAGAGTTTGTTGAGTACATGTGCTCACTTCTATCAGTGTCTCATTTAATTCGTACAGTCACCCCTGACCTGAAATTTGGCTCCTTTTTTGGCTCATGAGGCAAGTTGTGGGGCAGAAAGAATACGCTTTGCTTCAGACAGACCTGAGCTCAAACCTCACTTACCAGTTAGCTGACTTTAGGAAGCCCTTTCACCTCCCCGAATCTGTTTCCTCACTGGAGCATAGGGATAATACTCATACCTACCTTTTGGGATCCTTGTAGGATGCTGGTGAGCGGTAAATGGGATAAGATATGTAAAGCACTTAGCACAGTAAAGCTGTGTGTGTAAAGGAAGTGGTAGTCTGAGTGACTCAAATGGCTATCATGGTGCCTGGTCCCTTTGATAATGTTCTTACTTCACTGGGTTTTGACATTTGATTATGTAATATAATCTTTTTTTTGCCTCTTGAGACAGGGTCTGGTTATGTAGCTCAGGCTAGACTTGAATGCACTATGTAGCCTGCGATGGTTTTGAATTTGTAGTGATCCCAAGTGCAGGGATAACAGGCGTGTACTACCACACCTGTTTGCATTGTCTTTTTGTCTAATTTCCTTTAATTACTTGAACCACACATAGACTTCCAGATAAAAAGAAGGGTTCGTTTGGCTTAAGTGGAAGCCAGGAGCCAGTCCACCTGAGTGCCTCCTCCTCTGAAAGTGGTTTCTGAGGCTTCTCCTCTAGGAATCTAGATCTGCAGGCACAGTTCCACACTGGCTTCCGGGGAAGTGTTGACTCCCTCAGGCAGCTCATCTCTGCCCAGTTTCCCTTACAGGATGACTTCTAGGGGCTGGGGATTTAGCCTAGTGGGTTAAGTGCCTGCCTGGCAAGTGCAAGGTAGTGAGTTTGATCCTCGGTACCAAAAATAAATCAATAAAAATAAAAATAGGATGACTTCTGTCTCTAGTTACTTTGCATCCACTAGGCCTCACAGAACACAGCTTTTCCTTTTGCCTTAGGCAAGCCTAACATGACTTTTCTTTTCACTTTGTTGATTTAGGTATGGCCTTTGTAGACCCCCTTGGTCTTCTACAGGGAAAAGTTTCTACTTCCTGTGTTCTTCTTCAGTGTCTCGATTCCAGGTTGCTTTAGGATTCCTGTTCTTGAGTAAGGGGAAAGAGTCTTTGATTTCTATGGAGGTGCAAATGGAGGGATAAGTTATACCAGGTACTGACTGGTTTCTGAGAAGCTTTCTAGATGTTAGGATAAGCTCAAAATATGGCCTTAACCTAATCCTGATTCTCATAAGCCTGGAGTTCCAAATACTTACATCTATTCAGAAAAATCTCTGAAATAGATCAGAATTCTTGATAAAAATGTATAGGTTACTCGGATTAACTTGGGCCAAAGGTTATGCTTCATGCTCTTTTAGAGTCTGTACTAAAAAGTAAGTGAATGAGTGCTTGGTTTGTGTATATTCTACCTACAGGTCAGAGAAAGGATGAGAAGAGCTTGTTAAGCTCCAGAAATGTAGGCCAATGTTCATGGTTCTCTGAGGAGACAGGCAGGAAGGCAAGAGGAATGAGTTCAAGGCTCTGCTTTAGTGGGATTCGAGTTACCTAGAGAGTAAAGAAGGGTAAGTACCCAGTCTTCAGAAACAGGCAGTGGAATGAGAGGCACTGTGAAGGGGCCACCAGGAGAGCAAGAGTGGGAGTGATCATCCTCTTAATAAAAGCCATGTACAATTAACTTCAGAGGCTCTCACCTGGAGCTGGCAGCAACCAGCTCCCCATGCTGCATCTTGGCTGGATAATCACCGCCACTGGTTTCTATCAGTCTTGATTTAACATGGCACCCCTCCTGGCTGTGAGTGCATTTACAGGAAAGGGCTGGGAGGCTGAGGTGAAGCCTAGCTGGGCTTGCTCCACTCAGAAATGAGTGGCTGGGCTGACTGGCTCTGCGAGGAGGGTTTCGGGGACAAGGGGTGTGACAGGCATCCTGACTGTGGTGGTCTCTTAGGGGACAGGTCTGACAATGAAGCTGGCAGTGAGAGGGCAGCTTTCTGCCAGGGGTGTGGATGGGGTGGGTAGGCAGAATTTGACCTGGGTGAGAATGGACTGAGGAGGGAAAAAAAGAGAGATCAACGTGCAATTTGCCTCTCGTGGGAGGTCAGGTCCACAGAGTCAACTTGTTACTCACAGAAAGACTCAGATATGCCTTGTATTCCTGACTCTCTGTTTTGCACTAACTCCTGTTATAATCAGGGCTTCCTTAGGGTTTTTCTTCTAAGGGAGGTCAATAAAGAGGACCAGAGGGTAACAATGAGACTAGGGTAGAGTAGGGGACAATAACAAGAGGATTCTAAGAAGTCAAACAGAGAAGTCTGGGGGTGGGGTGCAGAGCAGATGGGAACAAGAGACTAGGGGATGAGAAAGTTTCTAGTCCACAAATATGCATCACTGTAGAGGAAGGCTGGACACAAAGCAGGTGTCAACCACATCAGAGTTGGTAACCACCATGTCAGCATCCTGGATTACATTTTCCTTTCTTCTAGTCCTTCCTTCCTTTTGTTTTTAAAAGTCATTTTGTTTGTTTGTTTTGGTTATTTTTGAAGTAGGGCCAAACTATGCAGTTCAGGCTGGCCTTGATTTCACAATGATCCTCTTGCCTGAGCCTCTTGAATTCTGGGATTACAGATATGTGCTACCACACTTGGCTCCAAAAATGCTATTTCTGACATGTAAATCTGATCATGTTACACTTCTGCAAATAGCTAGGTTGATCTAGAGACAAGATCTTGGTGAGAAAAGGTTAAGAGGGGCATAGAGTGGCTAGAGTGAGAAAAAGTTTACATTCTTCTCAGTGCATCATATGAGGAGCATGTAATTTGATTTATTCCATAACTGGTGATATTAACTTTGATCAGCTGGCTAAGCAATGTCTGCCAGGTTTATCCACTATACTTTTTCACTTTGCAATTAGTAAGTATTTTGTAGGGAGAGACATTGATACTACATCATCATCCTAATAACCTGTCAAACTTCCGTTGATAGGCTTGGCCTGATCTGAAATTAATGTTTTAACCTTTACAGACCTAAACAATTAATAGTACCATATTTTCACTGTAGAGATTAAGCAAATTCAGTCAGAGTTTTACTGGCAGCAATTGAGAGATACAGAACCCTAACCCTCAGCCTGAGTGTGAGGATGGTACTTTTTACCCGGAGATAATAAGACCTGTAGCCCACCGTCAGGAGTTCAATGTTATTCAGCAAGATGAGATTTTAAAACACAAATTCCCATCCCTATTTCTGGTAAAGGGTACCTAATGAATTTATTGGAAATAAACACCAGAGGGTGTTCTTGTCAGGAATATACAATCTGGGTTGCATCATAAGGAAACATTAGATAAAGCCAAGCTGAGGGACATTTTATAAAACAATGAACCTGTACTTGTTAAAATGTCAAGGTCATGAAAGACAACGAACAAGCAGGAGGCCATTCCACATTAAAGGAGCCTCGAGACATGACTATTGAGTGCAACTGGGGATCTGGGGTTTTCTTGTAAGAAAACTTACCAGGACAGCTGTTAAACTATGAATAATAGTTACAGATTATTTAATAGCAAGATTAGTGTCCTGATTTTGATGACTGTACTAAGGTTACATAAGAAAACATGAGTTGGAGATATAGGTCAGTGATACAGCACATCTTAGCATGTATGTGGCCCTGGTTTCAATCCAAAGCACTACCCCCTCACCCAAAAAAAAGAAAGTCCTGAAAATACACACAAATATT